CTGCCTAAAGGAACTGGCATTGTAATCCTTTGATCCCCCTTTTGAAAACGGAGCATGCAGATTTCGTCTCTTGTGCCGGAAACCTTTCTGAAATCTGTGTATACATCGTAAAGATTATATTTATGAAGAGATTGTCGATGAATATTTTCATAATGAAAATCTCATGAGGTTATTCTCTTGAGGTAGTTTCCCTTTGTAGTCACTGGTAAACAAGTTTAATTGCTCGCTAAACCTTTTGAAAAATATCGTCACCATAACAGAAGACTCCTTTTCACTCGCTGTGAATTCTTTTGTCGTGGCCGAAACCCTAATGGCTTTGGTGGTTTTTGCAAACAAAAAAAATCATTTAACTCCAGAGTAATTGAAAGTCAATAAACCATGGATATGCTCGTCCATCTTAGCCGCACCGATAGCTGCTAGATCGCAGAGTATGTACGCTATTTTTGGGTGGTTCATTATGAACTCGAAACATTTAATAATAAAAAATTGCTCTTTTTTTTGCAGAGTTAGGACCTACATACTAAAGTGAAGCTAAAAGAAAAGGGAGTTAAAGAAAGGAAGAACCTCGAAAGCACCAATATTTCCAGAAAATGACAAATTCCTCGTTAGAAAATAAAGGTAAGGAAGCTTTTACCTGTTTAAGAAGCTACATTTGTCATTTTTAGATGAAATCCGATTAAATTGGCTTAACGTGACGGAACTTTAACTGAGAATCTTTTACTATGACCAACTGACATGTGCAAGCGGGCATTTCGTTTTACTTCACATAAAAACTCCCTTCTTTTGCGTAGTTGATGTAAGTTTAACTTAGACTTGTTTCAGAAGATGCATGCATAAGAAACAGAATGACTGCTCAATCTCAGCAATCGAAAGTATGACCAGTGAATGATCGATGTCTTAAAGTATGCTATATTTTATCTCATTAAAGGCTTACAATAGCTGCCAAAAGAACTTTACGGAACTGAAATTGCGTTCATTCTTTATATCTATTTAAGTCTTCGATGGGAGCTGCAAATCTTTGAAATGTCAAACTTTGTACTCATGAAGATTCGGCTTGCTGAACTGGCCGATTTTAAGTTTGTCACAACGACAATGTCAAGATATTTTCAGAGTGATATAGACTGGTACGAATTGGTCGTAAAGACTGATTACTTTCAGTATGGGGCCATTGATTCCCCCATTTTGCATCAGTAGGAATAAGTCCCAACTTTATAAAGTAATAAAGCTTACTAGATTCTCTAATTATCTCAACAAATATGTATGATGAAGCGAGTATTGCTGTCAAAGCTTTCGTCGATAAGTTCGCGTGCATGACGTTTGCAATATTGAAACCAGGATTGACCAAATGGACATCACAGAATAGCCTCAGGCTGATAAATGCAATATCATTCACATTTATCCACGCCGATTACTTACCAGCTACAGAGATAAAATAGTGACAAATGAGCAAACGCAACGGCGTGTTGTGCTGCAGGGGGATCGAATTGTCTTTCGTAAGCATGAATACTAAGTGGGTCAGAGGTCGTTTCGGCCGCTAGAAAACTTCAAAGTGTAATGAAATCCCGCTTGCTAAGGACCTAAAAAGTCCCTTTGTGCGTTTTGTTTTATTTACTCATAATTTTGGTGCTAATGATAACTATTACTGCAGCCATTAATCTTCTCCTGTCTGTTTTCTATTTTCTTTTCAAGAACTTTAAAGTATAAGAAATTAAAAAGAGACTCGATGAGCACCGCGGGGTAGCTTGGCTTAGCCTGAAAGGTTTAATAACGAGGTTCAGAGAAAATTATTCACTTTCTTACACAAAAATGCTGAACTCTACATTACAATAGAGGTAGAAATTATGAACATGATATCGATAGCTGTAATGCTCATGATTTTCAATTAAGCGTGAAATGTGTGCATTCTGTGAATGATGAGAAGACAGTTCTATAGTTTATCATGCTGATAATCTTCACTTGATGAGCCGTTTCTCCGCTTCAGCTGATACTAGCAATCCACAATTAATCATCAGTCTTACTCATTCAATGCGACCGTTGCGTTGATAAGGAAGATCGTGATTGAAGCAAATAATTTGAAAATTCCAAACATTAAACCCTCGGGATAAGATCGCAGAAAGAGTTATATCATGCAGTTATAACAGTTGACGATAAATCCCAAAAAGAAAGTATAAGAGCAAAAATTACCTCTGGAATTTTCTTATTTAGTCAATACGAGTTTGTATTCAGGGATATGGATTGCCTAGCCTGAAGATATGGGTCATATTTTGCTTATTGAAGGTTCAGCATAGCAATATTAATTATCCAGTGGGTTATAATTAGCCCCAGAAGGTTTAGTTAACATGCATGCTTTTTTCAATTTACGTCTATGGCGTTTAAGGAAGAAAGAAAATAAGCTTTTGTCGTATGCCGAAAGTAAAGGACGACAGATTTTATTCTAATCATGCCTAAACACAGGTGGTTAAAACACTATCATTGGTGCCGTATTCTAACAACCGCCAAAATTAAGAGAAAAGATCGTCCTCAATCAAAACAAAATAAAGTTAGAACCATCTGTTGTACATGTCGTGTTTGACGATTCCTATTTTTCTTTTCTTTATCCTATTATGTGTGCGATATTAATACACAAGCTGTGATTTATCAAATTGTGACGAATAGGCTGTGATGATGAGAGTGAAACAGTAGAGTGCTCAAGCAAATGAATTGATTGTCGTCGAACACCAGTGACCACCACTCTTGCATTAGTAAAGTAATTATCTTTAGTGGGTAAGTGAACTAGGAGTGAAATTCTCTTTGCACATACACACGAGTTCACTTGATTCGGGGCAAGTTTTTTGTTGTTTCCTAAAATATTTCTCTTTAACACGACGAGAGAAACTGAAACGACCTCAGTGCCAACTTGTAACATACTTTAGTTCAAGTACGAATTGAATGTCAAATGTAACTTTAGACATCTCTTAAACTGATAATATCGGACGAACTCTACGTGGAAACGTACTGAGAATTTTAGGGGGGAAAAATTTCTGCCGAGGGAAAAGGCTATGCGGCGGTATTGAAGTGAGTATTTCTTCATCATTTTATTTAGGCCAAGGTGGTAATTAAAAATTAAGGACACCCAATCGTTAAATTTCTTCAAATGGTCGCGTGTGAATTATAATTAGCACTTTTCCTCAAGTCACGAATATAGCTCAATAGGGTATCACCTTTCGTCAGAACTACTCTGTTTCACTTCTTATCTTTCGTCGACATCCTTAAAGTGACATAGTATGACAGGTTAGAACCTTTACGAAAAGTATAACGTTATCGCTATTTTTTAGATCAAGGTTATAATGCATAATTATTACATACATCTTAACGAAGTGTGGGGAAATACGTCGTTTAGGTAGAAGTCATTCTTGTTTGAAAAGTGGTTATCAATGAAATATGGCATTATTCTCACACTCTCAACGGAATGATTTCGGATAGATATATTTCCTGAAGATGGTTTAGGAGTAGGCGTTTTTATACTTGAAGAAATGAAATACAAAAAGTTTTTAAATCTACTGTTATTGGACCCATAGAGAAGTCACCTTTTACATCTAAAAAGTATCGTCTCAATTTTTGTCATACAATGTAGTTCGATAGTTTTGGTGTCGCAGAGTAATCCACAGGATCCAACTTGTTTTCCTCAAGCCTGTTTACTTTTAGGAACAAGCAAGGGAGAGAATGTTTGAAATTTGAAAGTTAACTTCTGTTCATTCCAAACGGAAACAACATTTTAAATCCTCACGGTGTAAGGATGCAGGGGCATCATTGTCAATCGTAGGCATGTACCTTTTTTTGTGTCTCTGGAATATACTCTAATATACCAAGTTTTTACTTTATTCACTCTTCCGAGACATTTTAAGGAAAGAAAATCTCGCCACTCTTAATTACATGTTCAGCTAAATTGAACATTATTTGTCACAAAGTAGACTTTTGCGCTTGTCTGACTAACAAATCTTCTCAGTTTCGAGCGTTTGGTCACCTGAACTAATATCTTTTAGGATATTTGGTGTGAATTCTAACCTTAGAGGGTGAACAGTCAATCAGAAAAAAAAACTTTATAAAGTGTTGATCTTCAATTTCTGTTTTCAAAATACATTATCCATCATAAGTAAGATAACATGGCGATTGATTCGTTACAAATGTTAATATGGACGGCTTCGTGCATACTCTCACGTTCATTTTATTTGTTTAAAAATACCCACAGCATCGATTCTCAGATAACATATGACGCTTCGGTCGTGTCGAATTAGGCAATACCCTTTTTTGAGTTGCACAACATATCAAAATATATCCTGCCCCGCTAAAGGAAGTTTTCAACAAATCCTGACACGGAAATACGTGATGGTCTGCAGGAGGTAGGCCTAGAGCAAAGATCTTAATCATTTTTTCACCACTACGTGCAAGAAAATAGATGCAGCAATCGATTGGCTGTCTCCACCAGATAACTGACAAGTAAGCAAAATTAAAGGTCGATTTAAATTTCGATCCATCAACACCTTTGTATTTTGGGTTTTTTAAGACAACATGTGTGGACTTCAAAGGTTTTCCGAAAATTGCATTCCAGTCAAGGGCGCACGTCATGTAACTTTTTTACCCTAAAGCAGCATGGTAACAGTAACATCAAGGAAACTGAAGTGAATTGTGGTCTATGATGAAAAATAACTCTTGTGTTGTCGTCGTTCACGGCGAGTGACCACAAACCCAATAGCACCGACTCGTTGCTAGTCGTAAATGATGATTCCAAACTGATTTAAAAAACATATGATCTTCTCAGAAAGTTGTTGGGCTTACTTGGGTGCTACATGAACTATACAAACTGACAAAAGCTATCTATAGGGAAAAAAACATAATAATTGAAATTATGGGCAGCTATCATAATTTATCCAAAGATGTATTTTTTTTTCATATTTACTGGTGTCTGCAAAACCTTCTATTAGGCTCATCTTGAATAAAAAACTTGAGACTTTGAATTATCATATGAAAAAATCTTATCATTCACCTTTTCCAATCCAAAATTCACACTTTTCGCAGATAATTGAAAAGACCTGACGAAGACAAAGATGACAAATTATGTAAGTTTTACGGCGCTTTGCGTAATATCGCGCTGAGCCATCTATGGATATAACTTCATGACAGTGCGCTTAGCCCTGTCTAGTTCTCTATCTCAGTAATGGCGTGCCTACATGCTTAGTCTATATACAATGTATGTATGCACGATGTGACGGCGTCACATTAAAGTAAGCTCTATATGTATGACATGTCGTGACTTCTGGCGTGGCACTCTATTTGTATGGCGTTACCGTTTGCTCAGTCACACAAATATACATGTACTGGCGCTCTCGCATTCTTCATGAATGTGGAAAACTTCATAGAGGGAATTTTTTATGCAGAATGGGTACCGGGATCATGCAGTATATCAAAGAGTCCAGACTCATATATAAAATTAATACCCTAAACTGATGCGTCCGGCAGGCAGAACGAGAGCCGTCTGGTTCTGGTTAGAGACATTGGTAGCAAATAGCTGAACAAGAATCTTGAAATTCATCGAAAACAATGCGATCAACAGTCCTTCACGCCTTTCAAATTCATTACGATATGATGCTCGAATAAGCAGTCATTTTGCTGTTGAACTACAAGTTCATGAGTTACGGCAATATTCCCTACTGAACAAAAACGCGCGTAATCTCGCCGAATAAAACCCAACCGGTTCACACGTAGCCGCCAACACCATCCAATTAATTTAAGTACTGCAAGTAAAGTGTCGTAAGAACAATGGACAATTCTCAATTAGATTTTTGGTTAGCAAATCAACCTTGATTCTTTTCAAAAGCTTTAAAGTTGTTTTCTCATTCGTTTTTATGTTGGTTTTATCGCAGGCAACGACACCACTATGGCAATGTGCGGAGGCAGAGGGCAGGGGGATTCTACAGTGTCATTACAAGCAACCTTAACCCTACTGTATGCAGTCATCTTTCCCATCGCTCTTTTGGGAAACTCGCTCGTTCTGTATGTCGTATTCAAAAGACAGAGCATGAGGAACGCGTTGAACCTTCTAATTGTCAATATGGCAGTTGCTGACCTTCTGGTAACGATCTTCGTCATACCTTGGTCTGTATCCTATCTCTTTGTGGGACTTCAATGGTTTGGAGGAATCTTCGGCAAGATTCTCTGCAAGACGATCCAGTTCTCTTTAACGACGTCGATCGCAGCGTCAGTGATCACACTTATGGTTATCACAGTGGATAGATTTCTGACCATCGTGTTTGTTTGGAAAACTTGTCTTAACCTAAGAACTTCAAAAGCCTCTTTGGCTATTATCTGGATTATATCGATTGCCATCATGGGACATTATCTTAAAGTGTTCACGGTCGACCAACCACTAAAGAACATGGGAGACGAAAACTATTACTGTTACCCCAACTGGCAGACAATGCCTGATGACTTCGACAAATACTTTAATGTTGTTGCCTTTGCGGCGCTGTACGCGTTTCCCTTAATTCTGATGGCAATTCTGTACTCCTTGATTATTCATAAATTATGGAGCGAAAGAATTGCAAGCGGAGGCGACTCAGATATTAATAGCTCCAAGAAACGAGTGGTAAAGATGCTGATAACAGTAACACTTGCCTTTGCGGTGTGTTGGCTCCCTATGCACATCATACACTATTACATACACTTTGAACTCGAGACATATACGTGCATGTCAAAGTATCTGATTTTGCTGTCGTTCTGGCTTGGACATGCCAATAGCGCCATCAATCCAGTACTTTACGTGATTTTCAATAAGACCTTCCGCCGGGCGTTTCTACATGCCTTGCACATCCAGTCGTTCAACAGTATCAACTTGAAGACTTCCATTGTACGGGTAACATCAAACAGAAGGCCTTCATCGCCCTTTACACCAACTAGGAGCTCTTTCATAACCGGAAATAATAATGAGGAAAGCCATCCCCATACTCCGCCTATCTCACATTCTCGATCTCTTAAAGAGATTTATGCCTATGGCAAACTGATACAACGGAACGACAACTCTAAATCATCTAATTCCTGCTCTGACGACGGCAAGACAAATCGTCGCTCCATAATGGTTGTAATGGACAGAATGACATGTGTCTGAAGTAAATATCATCAAAATCAGGACATAGTAAAACGGTGAAATGTCTGAAGTGCTGTAATTATTAAGATGAATTCGAAACCTGATCATTCAATCCTGGGTTTGAAGGACAGTAGGATTAGAAGTATCTAGCTGTAGTTTCTTGAAGGATTGGACTTTGTGTTGCAAATATTCAGTGCCTTAGGTGGACCAGGTGTAACATTTTGAGAATGTATACAAAAAGGCTGGGTCATATAAACCAAGTTAAAGAATAATCATCGACAGCTAAAGTCAGAAATAAGATTGGCTAATCAAAGGGGTACTCTGCATCTTATTCAAACATTAGTTCAATTAACTAGCATAAAGTACTGTTTACTTTTGACATTAGAAGAGTGCTTCAAATAACAGGTGATTTTTAGGGATACAAGTAAATACATCGAAAAAGTTAAGTGTCGCTAGGTTGACATTTTGCGACTACTAGTCTAAAGAAATAAAACACTTGAATATATAGAGCTAGATTGTACTTAAACAACTCCATTAAAATAATAGAGAGCTGTTTAATTTCGAACCATTTGTAAATTGACCATGCTCCGAAGCCCAGATATGCTTCTCCCTGTTTCAACAGTGGCATGAGTACTGATGGTGCGTATGAGGATTGAATAGCAAGTTAAAAATAGCGGGCACATTGATATGAGAACCAAGGTGCTATTTAGTAAATCAACGGAACACTTCTTTCTTGCCAGGTTGTTGGTCGGTTCGTGTTCGTCTTATTTTAGCATTTTTTTTCGCGTTACATTTCAGGGCCGGGTCGTTCAAAGCTGGGTTAAGATCGATAACCCAAGATTAGTGTGAAATTTCATTTCAGATCTGAAAGCTTAAAAAAAGATCTACCGTAATTTTTTATTGTCTACAATGTTATGACTGCATGCTCTAAAGAGAATCGAGAAAATTACTCCAAACTGGCTATTGCACAAAGGAATAAAAGAAAAGGAGAATAAACTTTAAACTTGGGTTAGCTCTAATCAGCTGTGGAACAACTGGGCCCAGAATATCCAGTATTTGAGGTCAACAATTTCACTTAGTCTGATCCCAAATCTAATAATCCCAAAGTGTAAGGCAACAAATTTGAACTCTGCGACTGGATTAGGGACCAGGCTGAAAGATAGGGACCAGGCTGAAATCACCGACTTCATTTATTGATGGCGTAAGATACATTGCTAGTTACCTTGCTCGTTGAAATTTTTCGATTTTCGAGTTGCATCTGAGGAGTTGCTTGTTGTTGAGATGTTAATCTAATGTTTAGCTGTGACAATTAATAGACCAGCTAAGGTTGTGTGGAACGTTTCGCCATTCATAACATCTTTGAGATATGAAAGAGGAAAAGATGACAACTTTTTCTATTATTCGAGACAATGGAAATTCTTTCACCCTTTCACTGTACGTAATACCTGACCTAACAATGGCTTGGATCTTTGATGCTCATAGAACGTAAATTTTTAAGCGTTTTTAAGGTTAAAATATAATTTTGCCGTTGTCAACGGAGCTAAAACAAAAACAATAAAAAAACAAAAAAAAAAGAGAAAGAAAGAATAACCTTTCAAGTAATTTTTAATCCATGTTCTCTCCCAAAATCAAAGTAAGAAGTATATTTGAGCAAGATTCGGCACATTAAGTGGTCAACCTGATATAAAGCGGCGTTGTATATCATTTCATTCGAATACTCCTAATTTGTGGTACCCGTTTTAAGTGGTCACCCCACCTTTTCCCGTGGGTGACGGCTTAATACAGGTTCAACTGTATATAACAATGATTGTTTTACCCTTTACGAGTGCCTATACCAGCTTTACCTATACCAACTTTTGACGTCCTTGTTACTGTTGCCCATTCTCTCGTAGAGTTGTAAAAGCAGCATTACCCAGAATCTGTCACGTTTATCAGCCGTGGTCACGGCCGGCCCGTAACCTTGGGAGAGCAGCGTGGTCGACGATCTCGAAATTTACATCTAGGTTATCTTGGTGTTTCAACCAGAAACTTGATTGTCAGCTTTTACACCAATGGAAACTTTTTTTCGCAAGAATGTCTACCGCACACTAAAACCAACAGCTCGATCGATAACGTTTGCGTTTATTGTGTGACTCGCTGCAAAACCCCTGAGGCCGACTTATTAACCTGTGTGGCTGTCCCGTAGAATATTTTTCTTTTACGTTTACTGTCAATGTTATAGAATAAAAAGCATTTTTTTGAGGTTATCAGACTGTGTGACTGCGAAAGGGGAAACTGATGTTTCATTAACTACTAAGGTGCTTATCTAATTATGTGATTTTTAAGACCATTATTTACCATTACGGCTGGTTTATGGAGAGAATGTACCGACCAACAGCTTTGTTTACAATGCACCGATTAATAGCATTTCCTACGTAAATAAGATAATTGCAAAGACTTATTAGGATGAATGCCGACCACTGTCAAAAAAATTCGATCAGTATTCTTTGTGAGATCAGTTTCAAACGGTGGAAAAGAAGCTGGGGGAATATCGTTTCCTCACTGATAAAAGCTTGTCCTTGAAAGTAGTTATTCAAGCAATGAAAAACGCTCTTGTGTCACGCGAATCTATCCAAAAACAAATCCATTACAAATGATTTTGTCGATAAAACGACGAGGAGGTCATCATTATGGGGTCATAATGTAGAGCCAAATTTTCCCTAAAAGTCGCAATTTAGAGGAGCGTGATTCCTGTAATGACCTGAGTGTACAACATTCCCTTCCCCAGAGAGCATGATTTTCCTTTTTCTTTCGTCTCTGTCATGTGCAAAGATGAAAAACTTCTAGTTAAGTGTTTTTAACAATAATCTTCAAACTTTAAGAGCTAAAAACAAAACTAAGTAAACTTAAGTATAAAAAATTTGTAGAAAAAAAAATGTCAGGGACAAAGAGTACCTAAAATTAACTCGTATTTTACTTAAGCCCTTATGATAACTAGCTTCGGATTTTTCACTTTGAGTTATAAATTATTTTAGAGCTGTCAGATATTACCTCAAACTGTAAAATCGTTGGGTAAGATAGATCGACCGTGGGAGATCAAGCATTACTCATTTTCTTAACCGCTTGAACAGATGAGAAATCGAGTGTGCGATAAACAGGACAAGCAGAAATACGTGTTTGATATGATTTATGGTGTCAAAGAAAGTAGCGATACAAAATTGGAAAGGGTTTTATTTACAATTAATAATCTCTTTCAAAGTGCATAGATATATCAAACGGAGAATTCAAACTTCACACTAAAGCTAAACAAAGCGAAATACAATAATAATGCTGTTATTTACAAATTAATATCCCGCCCAAATGCTATATTTCATTGTTGCACGAATCATCTCCAAGCTTTATGTGCAAGTGTCGAAAGGCAAGGTTCACTACCACTACATTACTTTAATACACGAGTATTCCCTGATACATCTGCACTTTTTAAAAAATGAAAACAGGCTGACGTCGGTAATTAAGTAAAGCCAACATGTTATCATCAGTGTTATAGAACTCTGCGAGAAAAGTTGTCGCAAAGATCTAATATAAAATTTAGATTTCACCCTTCCTCGTGTGAGGTCTCGGTTCCAGCGAAACCTTTCAATTTAGTTATAAATTATTAATTAAGAGGTGTTTCTTTCCAATATATGAAAATAAAAATAGATGATTGTAAAATTGGAATTTCGCTCGGCATTAGTAAGCGAACAAAATTTAATTTTTTTCATTCTTTTCTGTTCAATATCGCTGTGGAAGTTGGAATCAGACTATATCTGAATGCTTTCAGCGGGGGTAATTTCCATAACCCCAACTTGTCAGCAAAATCACGGTAACATTTTATCATCTATAGTAAGACCAAGAATTAAACATGCCATCAATTAAAATACCGGAAGGATATTCATTCCTTCCTGCATCCTATTAAGTTCTTTACCCAAAAAAAGAAAGAGATCGCGACAAAATTAGAAATAGTCGCGATTCCATGAAAACCACGGGTAAGCCTGGCATTATTGTCTTTACTTTCTTCTTGACATATTTTTGAGGTTCAAGTGAAGGCTCACCCCTTAATAAGGTTATCTCATAAAATCATCATAAATTGTTCGAATATTGACTAAAAAAAAAACGGACGGCGCTTCCTTTAAGGCGGCTGATGCTGGATCTGGCTGGCCTTTCATCAGTTATCTTCTTACTGATCAAATAAATACAATCAATTTAAACTCAAATTTTGACTTTTCTTCTTCTAAGACAAGAATTTGATATCACGACGCTTCGAGGTCAGATTAACTTTTCAATTGAAATCTAAGTTACTCTTTTGTGTCAGTACTGTGTTCATCGCAACCACATTTTACGCACCAATGAGATTAATTAATTATTCGTTTAATTTCGGTGGTGCTCATGAATACGTGTTATTCATGCGTAGCACTAAGAGAGAACAGCGTAGGAATAGTCTTTCATATGTCGCATTAGCGTCGAATAAAACGAATTGTCGATTCATTTGGGCTTTTCAGCGACCTACAATCAGCTCTAGCTGTTCGCTGAAGCAAAAGAAAAAACGAAGCAACAGAAAAACGTGCTATTACGATCAGATATATATGCACAGCACAAGTTTTACCATGTACCACCATTTTCGGCGGCCCCCAGATTTTCTAACTGCTTTATCGTCGTTCGTTTTGTCAGCGGTATTTGTTCACTTCTATCATTCCAGAAATTTGCAACACATTGAATAGTTGCCTTTCTTAGTAATTCTCGAAAATGCCGACTATACATAAACCATACCCACGGATTTATGGCGCAGTTGACATGAGCCAACCAAAAGAAAGACAACGGAAGGAAGGCAGGGAGACGACAATAACTGTCTGGGTCGAACGATCTTAGCAAATGGTTGACATGGACAGGTAACCAGCAGATTGCAAAAATTGCAACTATTGCAATGATCATGCGTACAACACGTTGGTTCTGCTGAACAATTTTTGAACGAGTATTTTTCCCCACAGGCAGTTCACTTCGTCGATAAATTCTGTATGTAATAATAGTATAATAAAATACCATAAGAACTAAGGGAAGGAGGTAAAAGACGACAAACTTTGCCATCTCTTCGATCCCCAAGATCATAAGGTGCTTCTGTGGGTTTTTACTCCATTTCCTAATGCAATGACATTTCCCATCTGTGCCCTGTTCAATTCTAAAAATGTACAAATACGGGATACAAAATAGTCCCGCTAGAACCCAGATCAGCGCCATGGCGTATTGAATACCTTTCTTCGACAGTGGCCTTATAGTCGCGTGTGCTGCCATGAAGCGGTCTAATCCCATCACGACAACGGTCAAAATGGAGGCTGCTACGGAGAACCCCACAGCAAAGTATGTTATCTTGCAAGTTAGCTGTCCAACGATGCCCGAAATCCAGAGTCGTCCAACCGTCAAAAACGACATAAACACTAGAGAAGCCGATGAAGCATTCATGATATCTGCAATCGCCATGTTGATTATTAAAAAGTTGAAAGGAAATTTCCGCCTCGATTCTTTGTCACCGTATACAACTCGAATCAAGAGAGAATTGCCAAAAAGAGAAGAGAAGAGCACTAAGGCAAACCCCATGATCACCAGAGTTTTAGTGGTGTTGCTTGCGCTTTCAATTGCGCATTTGGTGTGTAATTTACCAGTGATATTCGTTGCAGAGTCATTCGTGGCGTTCATTTCGACCTGTATAAGGTAAAATCAAAAGCGATAATTGAAGAATCAATGGCAGACTCTGGCAACTGACATGACGAACAAGTCCAAATTCACACATTCTTAATAAGAACATCAATATAGAAGCAATTAGTTACAGCTCTTTGGACGACAAAGTTATCTCCTAGGAGAAGAATTTACATTTTCTTTTTTTATCGCGTGCGATAAGTGGTTTACAGATTTGCCGTTCTATTACCGTCCTTGCCTGATTACCAATCAAGAGCCTCCGCTCTGCAGAGATATCATTGTCGCTAATACGTCACAAAGTCGCAAAGTTAAAAATATCAGGCCGGTTTACCTCTGTGAAAACTGTGCAGGTCGTTTAATCGAGAAACTTCGGAACCTTTCAAAATTGACTGGTCCGCCAGTAAGTCATCTTGAGTTTTCGTTGTTTGATAAACACTAAGAATGATCCACCTGACCCTGTCTTTTCACGATAGCGAACATCATTAATTAATTCTGCCGCTAATTCACAACCTGACAGACGGGACACGCTACGCTGGTATTAGAATATAAGAGAGAGTGAAATTAGGGAGGAAAATGTAAATTACGGTTGATGCAGTTCGCTAGCGATAAGATCTTTACTGACAAAAAAAAGCTTTTGGACCTATGTTGATCATTCTTTCTGAAAGATTTGTTTCAAATGGCCTCCGGTTAAAAGCACTAGTATAAAACTCATTTGAACTGGACTGTGAAATGTTTCTCTTAGGCAACGTTACTTGCGATAATGCTTTTAAGAATACACATTTCTCTGAAGTCGCGAGCATGATTTAATGAGTTCCGACTTTTTTGACCTAAACAAGCAGCCGGGCGTAAAGCAATAATATCAGAACAATTCCTCCCACAAAGTGACAAACATGTAGCTATTATGAAACTGTTGCTACCCTCTTTTGTTTTGCTACCATGAGTGTTTGTCCACTCTTTTATCAGGAAAGATCCTGCTGAAGAAGACATTAATAAGATTGATTCAGTTGTTGTTTCGCTCTCAGTGCCTGATTTTTGTAATTATGAAGTTCACATTTGTTTTGTTTCGATCGATAGACGTCATCAGACTCACAGATGACAATTAAGCTACATTTTCTTGCGTTTGAATATATTTAGATATGGTCCAGTATTTTAAGCTGTGCATGACTAACTTGTACGAAAATCTAGCGCTAACGAAGCTGAATTAACTGAAGAAGAAAAACTTCTCACCAATTCAGACAAATCCGTTCTACGATTAAGTTTAATTTTCTTCTTTCCGACCGAGAGGCTTCATAGAATTTACTATTAGTATTTCCATTAAGATCGGCGAAAATAAAACAAAACCCGTTTAATTTCTGAGACGTGGAACAAATATGCATCTGGAAATAGAGCTTCATGGAGATTAAGTGTTTCCCAACAACAATCGCCAACAATTTGATGGGAGGATGTCGATTGTTATTGAATTTCATTGTTTGATAAAGTACTCTTTCAACTGCAGGATATAAATTGATTTTGATGCTTAAAGCACTGAAAGCCTCGATCAGCCATTTAGAACTTCTGTGTCAATGTGTGTAACAAGAATAAAAATTTGAGTGAAAAGAAAGGGATTAGAGAAGTAGATTTATTGAAAAGTGAGATAATAAAAAATACATTACTTACAGGGTTTGCGACTGCAATAATAACAAGGGAATATAAACCTCGCGATACAAACAAAGATGTCAGCTAAAAAATCGATTTATCGTCATGCTTACGTAAGAAAACTAAGACTTCAGTGATATTTTGGCGAAAAGCTGTTAAGATCCTTGAAATTACGATTATTGCACACCTGACACTATAAAGTTCAAGTTATAAACCAATTTTTAAATGTTCATCGTTTCCTGTCTCATAAAAACCTTGAAAAAATATGATCTGAATAAACAGGTTAATGTTAAGCAAGGATAGGCTCTTCCTGTGTAAAGACTACTTATCTTTCAAAGCATCTTGTCATAAAGATATTTCACCTAATTTTTTACAGTACCGAAAGCTAATTGATAAAATCGCGTTTTAAAAGCACCGCTTGACTTCCTTTAAAATTGAAATTTTACCTGACTAAGCATTTTGCTCCTTTTCCTAGCATTCATATGAAGACAAAGACTACGTCTAGCTTGTTCCAAAGACCAGTTAAGAGCGATGAAAGTAAATACAGAAGACAAAGAATAATCAACTAATTGTAAAAGCTCTGCTCAAAGGTATAGTGGAACGAGACAATGAATAGTGTAGGCAAACTTTAATTATTTTTAGTTTATCTGTTTCTCCAAATAATAATAATAATGATAATAATAATTTACATTTCTAAAGCGCTAAAATTATAAAAATATTCTAAAGCGCTTTACAAAATATTCTATAAAAATATTAAAATGATTAAACGATAAAATATGAAAAATATAGAAATGTTTAAAACTATTAAAAATGTTAAAGCAAATTGTAAGCCAGCTTGAACAGATGTGTCCTAAGCTTGTGTCTTAAGCAAATCTGCTGTAGCTAAATATAGGTTTGCAAGTTCAGCTTACACATATAGACCATCGTTTGTAAGTTACGTAACAGGTTTGTGTCTTCAATTTTTCCAAATTAAATTCAGTTCAGCCCATGGCTGAAAAAGCCCTCGAGGGACATTAAGTTAAGTGCCTGTGTGTGTATCTCTTTTCTTGCTTCAATTATAACTCCTGCAGTAAAAAAATCCGGTTTGGAGGAAAGAAATCGATCCGGATGTCTTTTCACTCTGTCATTTCTGAAAATGAACTATTATCTTGTTTATTGTGCTAGGCTGTGCCAAACTTTTTGAGGTGTTGAATTTTACGAGCGACGATGAAACTTCTGGAAATGTTGCAATTAGACTGGATTGAATTAAAAGGCGATAAACCATAGTGTTGTTTTAAAGCACATCCAATAAGCTCCTGAAATAAACGTTACTGGCAGCATTTGCAACAATGTCGGTGAAATATCGAAAAAGTTTCAAATTGCTTTATTTATGAGTTAATTAAGGCGTCGGTGGAAAGGAGGTAAATATATTTCAGAAATTCGGTAACTTTTCTTGTAAATTCTATAATGCAAGGTATAAAAATGGAAATTAGGAAGAAGATATGCGTCACTTGAGGAAGCTGTATCTGGTTCGTTCCCATCACTTAATTTTGACATAAGGCTCTATGATTAAGTTCCATGAGAGAAGATGTCAAACAATTTGCATAAATATTGAAGTGACGCAGAGAAAAAGAGTAAAACCAAAGAGAAAAATTAGGATGTTTAAGGTGTCATACTCGAATTTTTAGCGAGAATGCCACTTACCACGCTTTTAAGGAGAGGAGTTTGGTGCATCGAGACAGGATCGACAGTTGTGCAAGTGATCTGTGGTTGAAACATTTCGAGCCCTTTGCAATTTTATAAAGGAATACATAAAATAATAATTCATCGCAGAAATTAAATAGGATTTCCTGCTAAAAGATTTTCACAACCGCATCTTCTCTAAATTTGTTCAAAATTGACGGTGCACTCTCAGGAAGTTACAAGTATCATTTTGTTATCCTTTTGAACACGAAAATATCCACGTCATCTTGATGCATTAAGTGCACTTGCCTAAGAACACTTTTTAACGACGTTTCAAAAAAACGAACCGTGTTCGCATCTTTAACCCTTTAACTCCCATGAGTGATCAAGACAGAATTTCTCCTCAATACAATCAATATCAATACAATATCAAGCATAAAAGAGATGAGAATATATATATGTTATTTGCCGGCTGGGAGGTCCGTATGGTGAAAAACTGTGACCGAGGTTTTGAAAATACTGCCCGAGGCTGTAGGCCGAGGGCAGCATTTTCAAGACCGAGGTCACAGTTTTTCACCATACAGACCGACCCTTAGCCGGTAAATAACATATTTATTTTTTTTTTAAACTTGACGAAGTTCTTTCCAAAAGAACCCGAATGATTTGGGACTGCAAGATACGGCAAGATCTTCCATAAACTGAACAGTTTTTGAGCGAGTAAATGGTAGTTGAAATAGAGGTGATGCAAACTCAAGAGAGATGCCTCAGCGAAACATTTCCGTAGCGATAATTTAAAAGGCTTCCAAACAAACTTTGAAACATTATTTTTACAAGTATCTGTCACAATCTGACACCTGTCGATTAGAGAGCGCGTAAGTTAAAAAAAGCGTAAGAACATTTGAAAAACAACGGAACTAGTTTGGCAAAGACTGTCACGACAACGTTTTCTTCAAAAACATTCAATGATCTAACGGAAAGTATTATTCACTCTCATCGATGATTCATTCATGTACGAAGGTTTACCTCTATTCACTAAGTAAGCGGCGAGGAAAGTAATTGTGAGTAAATTCAAATTTTTTATTTTGAAGTTGTGAGAGTTTGCTCGTTTGTTTGCTGCAATGGCGTGTGTAAATCTGGTCTTTGCTTCACAAAAACTAAATTCGAATGGCACACTCCAACGAGACACAAGGCGATTTAATGCGGCCTTTTCTCAAAAAATTCCTTCAGTTTCTGTTGTGCAATTTACGGTACAAATGTTCAAATTGAACGGACTTGGAAAGACTCACCGAGAGCGTATATTTGTTGTATAACTTAAATTAAAACTTCACTCGCTCTTTAACTGTGAACAAATTGCTTGAGAAAATTCAGGTATTAAATGAATGACAGTTCCATCGTTCAGTTTAACTGTAACCAAATACCTCACGTTTTAACTTTTTAGGTACTTTTTGTAAACGATTAAAATTAATTGCAGACGGTCTTTAGGCCGCTTGTCAACCAACGTAATGACACTATTGTTTATACAAATTCATTCTGAAACCAATATTTTTCTGTCAACCAAAGTGATTTGAGTGAGAGAAAAAAGAGGATTCATAAGTTATTCATCGGCTTGAGGTAGTGACCGACGTGTTTGCTTAAAAATACTGCCCAGCCGGAAAAACGAGATATATTTATAAAGTAAAAAAATCAATTAGGGGATAATTAAAATAATATGATAATTGTTTCAAATAGAACGTTTTATAGCCAGAAAGAATAATAAACTTGAGATCCATTACAACAATTGGAAACCCCTCCTTCAACTGATAGAACAATAGCTGAACTAATTTATTATTTATATCAATACGCGATGCCTCTTTTTTTTTTTTTTTTTTTTTTTATTCTCGTAGTCCAGTGTAGTGGTATTTTCTTTGTGTAATAGAGTAGTGTACTGTAAATTTATGCATGTAGAAATTTGTGATGTATCTTGCGTACTTGTAAAAACTGTAAAAACCCAAAAACAAATAAAATACAAAAAAAAAAATTAGGGGATAATTGGCTGATCCAATACTAAATTCTCTGAACTAACATTATAGGAATTGTATGGCAGACAGTAAGAAGAATTGCTAATAAGATCTTGGGAGTTAAAGGGTTAAAGACCATCCTTTGTAATTTTACCCTTGACAATCTTAGTTACAGCGAAACAAATATTACTTATCAATCAACCAAATGGGTTGCTAGCGTTTCTTTCTTTA